ATTTGAAGAATCTGTGACCATCCTCGTCTCTTGTCACGGAGAGCGTGCGCTCAACTTGGTCTGGATGGAGAGCATGCGTAAGTACTGATCACAAGGATTTATAGGATAAATGCATACAATCATAGAATAGTACATGCCATATTCTTATTACTCTGAATATTGATTTAGAATCTATGTGTATGTGTAATACTTTATTGAAATATAACTGTATATGATTCACATGAACATTTTATATTGTCTGTGTGTGTGTAGGTTAGATGACTCCGCCCTTGAGTCAGAGGAAGGCCACCAGTGCGCAGCCAATCAAATCAAGAACATGCCAGACAATGTCCTGATCCAGGAGTCGGGGAAACTGATCATCATTATGGATTTACTGGACCAGATGAAGCGGGAGGGACATCGCTGTCTCGTCTTCTCTCAGTCCAGGAAGATGCTGGACATTATCCAACAGCTTATCTCCAACAGGGTAAGGTCAAGGTCACATTCCTATTAGGCTGGTCCAAGTGTCAGTGCAATATTCTTCATAAAGGTGTGTCATACTTTTATTTTCTGTAGTAGAATTTGGGTTAACATGGAAGCATATTAAACATGTTTTCTTAATTCTTTATTTGTAAAATAGTATTCAGTGGTATAAAGAAGTGTCATCTTTCATGATCATGAAATTTAATATACTGAAAAAATCAATCTACTGAGATATCAGTACTGTATACCAAATTATGGATACGGTGAAGTCATAGTGATTTATGTTGTATCTAGCAAATAGTTTTTAGCTCACCTGAGCCGAAGGCTCAAGTGAGCTTTTCTGATCACATTTTGTCCGGCGTCCGTCTGTCCGTTGTCTGTCTGTAAGCTTTTCACATTCTCGACTTCTCAAGAACCGCTGGCGACAATTTCAACCAAACTTGCCACAAAGTATCCTTGGGTTAAGGGGATTCAAGTTTGTTCAATGAAGGGCCACGCCCTCATTCAAGGGGAGATAATTTGGAATTAATGAAAATTTGGTGGCATGGTATAAAAATCTTCTTCTCAAGAACCACTGTGCCAGGAAAGATGAAACTTATAGGGAAGCATCCTCAGGTAGTGTAGATTCAAATTTGTTCAAATCATGACCCCCGGGGGTAGGGCGGGGCCAAAATGGCCGACCAAAGTTTTACATAGAAATATATAGGAAAATTCTTTAAAAATCTTCTTCTCAAGAATAACAAAGCCACAATTGATCATATTTATATGGAAGCATCCTCAGGTAATGTAGAATCAAGTTTGTTCAAATCATGACCCTCTGGGGTAGGGCGGGGCCACAATGGCCAACCAAAATTTTACCTAGAAATATATAGGAAAATTCTTTAAAAATCTTCTTCTCAAGAAAAGCAAGGCCATTTTTGATCATATTTATATGGAAGCATCCTCAGGTAGTGTAGATTCAAGTTTGTTCAAATCATGACCCCCGGGGGTAGGGCGGGGCCACAATGGCCGACCAAAATTTAACATAGAAATATATAGGAAAATTCTTTAAAAATCTTCTTCTCAAGAATAACAAAACCATAATTGATCATATTTATATGGAAGCATCTTAGTGTAGATTCAAATTTGTTCAAATCATGACCCCCGAGGGCAGAGCAGGGCCACACTGGCCGAAAAGTTTTACATAGAAATATATAGGAAAATGCTTTAAAAATCTTCTTCTCAAGAATAACAAAGCCATGATTGATCATATTTATATGGAAGCATCCTCAGGTAGTGTAGATTCAAGTTTGTTCAAATCATGACCCCCGGGGGTAGGGCGGGGCCACAATGGCCGACCAAAGTTTTACATAGAAATATTTAGGAAAATTCTTTAAAAATCTTCTTCTCAAGAATAGCAAAGCCATGATTGGTCATGGGCCTACTTTTGGATTTAAGCTTTTCAATAATAAACAAATTCTACTTTTTCCAAACCACAGTGCTCAGGTGAGCGATGTGGCCCATGGGCCTCTTGTTGTATCTAGTGATGTTAAGGAAAGAAATTATTTAAAAATAATATTGTATAGTAGATTCCCAATCTGCTTCAGCTCTCTTTAATCAATGTACAATTGTACATTCTTAGAGAACCTGTGTATTTAATGATAAGGTTAAATTGTATCAGGGTCACAAGGTCATGCGGCTGGATGGCACTATTACTCAGCTGAGCGAGAGAGACAGAAGAATCGCCACATTCCAGGAGGACATGAGTTACTCCGTGTTCCTACTCACAACACAGGTTATCTGACACTGGTTTGAAATAATACATGTTCATTAGATTGAATGGACATGTTCTTCTCATCCAAATGTAACCCTGTGGAGATGAGATCACATGTCCAATAAATGAAAATATTCAAGTAATTTAATTTTTATGGACTTTAACTACATGTATGATCAGAAGCAGTTGAAGTTAGAAATGCATTTAAACATTGTTTGCTACTGAACAGATTTTTATTTAAATGAATTTAAAGTCTGAAGTTATTTAGAATTTTTTTTTAATTTAAATTTTGTTTTAATTAGGTGGGAGGTGTGGGTCTGACTTTGACAGCTGCAGATAGAGTCATCATATGTGAGTAAAAATGGAAGCGAATAGAGTTTGGGTCTGATTTCAGAATGACATGGTGCACATGGTAGACCATATAAATATTCATATTTATTATAAGTACACACCAACAAATCTAAAGTCTCATCATAATCTTTTAGTTCAATGTAAAAATTCTTCAAAAAGACATGAAAATTGCTGTCTCATGCACCACTCTTTAATTTGTTGCCATGGCACTCATATTGTTTTAAAAAGATTTTTTTTTTTGAGGCATTGAACAAGAAAAAAATTATTAGTTAATTGTAAAGAAAAATATTGCCCATACAAATACATATATGCCAGTATATCCAGCAGTTTACATGCACTAGGACAGTATGTGTTGTAATTTAGATGATCCTAGCTGGAACCCTGCCACTGATGCCCAGGCTGTGGATAGGGTCTTCAGGATTGGTCAGGATAAAAATGTCGTTATCTACCGCCTCATTACGTGTGGTACAGTGGAGGAGAAAATCTACCGCAGACAGATATTTAAAGACTCCATAACCCGCCAGACAACCGGGAACTCCAAAAATCCCTACAGGTAAATATAAAGCAAACCTATAAGTACATTGTAAAAGCCAGGCAGGTAAATAAAGGCTGACAATACCTACAAATGTATGTATCTTTTATTACATGTTCACTTCAATATTTTTACCCTGAGTCCCTGACCCTGTAACCTTGACCATGTTATTTTATTTAATTTGCATGTAGCTCAGTTTTAAATAACTTATGAAGATATTTTTGTTAATACATGTCTATACTGAAACTTATTAGTGAGAGCTGTGCAGCTGTGTCCAAAATATTTTCCTCCTTTACCTTAACCTTGAACCTTTATGCAATTGAGGCACATTCCTTTTCGTGTTGCAATACAAATGAGACCTGGGGTGGAGCATTAATGTCCTATGGACATATTTCCAGGTTTCCGACACAGCTAAATGTCTTCATAGAAAAATGAATAATTGTTGTGAAAAACTTTGAAAAGAATCAGTAAATATACTTAAACACCCAGTTTTATGTTAACGCCCCCAAAATCTACCTGATTCAAGATCAATAATTTACCGCCTGTCAATCATTAAAAAACAACAGCTTCTGATTTGATTGACAGGTCAGCTACCTGATAATCTGAGGTTGCTTATTTTGAAGAGAATGGCCTTGTCGCATGCCAAACTCTTTCATGTACCCGCCTTGTATACACGCGGGTTAGAAAACTCCATATGTTTAAATTCTATTTCAAAAAATAATTGAAAATACGTATATTATTAAAACATTGACATCATTAAATATTTCTTTTCAATCTTCACTGCTGTTTGTTACTTGTAAGTGTTATATCGTCCACGAAACCTGTAGAAAAAAAGACCGTCCACAGAAACTGGCTCAATTTGCCGTAATTGGACGTCCGACGATAATAAAATTATTTTTTAAGAAATGGGATATAAGATAAATATTCAGCATAATCGGCATATAGTTTACAAAAGATGTTTTATTTTGTACAAAGGCTACAAACACGAAGTAGTACAGAAATTTATGTCAGAATTAATGCTCGAATTTCCTCTAGCGTTTGTCTATATTCGTAATGAAAGGGTGAAGATAATTAATAGTGATCGATTCTGAAGAGAAATCTTTCTAACGATAAAATTTTGTTAACGCACGAACAATCGAAAATATTGAAGATTTTAGAAATTGTTAGCCAGAAAATTATAAAAAAAAAAATCCGATGGTGGTAAATGTTCACATGCACGACGGATAAATGGATTAATTATTTTTTCATTTCAATATTCAGACTTTTTTTATTATGATGATTTCTTTTATTGAAGATTAAAAAAATAAAGAATTTCTTTGTAGTTTTTCGAAACTGAATCATTTTATAAAACGTTATCCTTTATGTTTTTTCCTGCCATTTGATGTTTTCGTCCCAGATAAAGTTCATCCTCGGCCGTAATAATTTTATGTAGTTTCACTCAAAACTAGACACAAAACATGTTATCCACAATATCAGCAACCCTCTCATCTGTCACAGTTGTTTCTGAAGTTCTTTTGTGATATAGTTTTTGACATCTTGGGTATTGGTCTGTTGTCCTTTGAATAACATCACTGGTACTGATCACTCCCCCTCCTCAATGTGATCTTTCTCTAAGAATTTGGTCTTTAACAATTTGTGAATACTAAAATTTTATATTTGGTTTGAATGATATGCTTATACAAAACTAGATATATCGTAACTAGAGTTCTCAGCAATGAGCTCACTAAATTTTGAGTTGTCCTAGTTTGACACTATTTTTATAATTAAAGCAAAGTCCATGTTTTGCGGTGGCCGGGATACCCAAAATTTTTGGCATGTTTGAATAAAATAGGAAGCTGTGCTTGAATGGCAATAGTAATCAAGATTTTTTGAAAGTTTCATTAAATTTCACTCAGTGGTTTAAGAGTCTGTATTAAGTTGGGTACCCCAAAGTTGACCTCTGACGGACGGACGGACGTACAGACATTTGCTACAAAAAAGAAAAAGTTACATTACTCCCTTTTTCAAGCGGGGGGTATTGAAATGGTGAGATGAGACCACATTTATCTTGCTTTGATTGCAATGCTTTTCTGAACATTCCAGAATAATGTAATAAGGAACAGTCACATGTTTTACTATCAATATTGTAAAGAAATGAAAAGTGGATTTTAAAGTGGATTCTTTTTATCTTACAAAAAATGATAACATTTTCTATAGAATTACTCTAGGACTGAAAATTCATGTTGTTTGTTGATTTGATAGAGATCATTAGATATCTAAACTTTGATGAAATTTATAATTCAGAGTAAACACACTGGGAATATTAACTGTATATTCCTTCAAGTTTATGCAATTTGAAATTCAGTGGCGGGTTTAAACTTCCACTAGGGGGGGCACTTAAACCACCATCCTGTATTATTTTTAAGATCATAAATCATAGTTTTAATGAGATGGTGTTTCTCGGTAGACCTCATTTTTACCCTTAATAAGAATATACTAGAATATGTATTCTTCACCAAAGCTGTAACTGTAAATATCAATAAAATTAAGGGGTTTTGCAACAATTCTTAGCAGTTCGTTTAGCACCCCCTTGTTGTTGGAGATTAAAATTAGAGAGAAATTTGAATGATTTACAGCAAATAAGTCCATGGTACATTAAATTAAGGGTATAAAAAATCATTTTATAAATTTTTGTAGCTTTCAACATTCGAGTCCAATTAAAGACATTATAGTAAATGTAAGGACATTATACTTATGGGGCTAGTGTGTGACTAATGACAATATTGCCACTAGAAATCTCTGCATTAAATACTTGGTTGATCAAGGAAATGCTACGACACTGCGCTACTGATGGACAGGATGAAATGATGCTTAACTCAGCTGATTCAGCGAGTGCTACTGCTAGGTTGGTTACCTTTTTTGTCATAATCAACAGATGCTGACAGGCAAATCTCCAGAAGTAAGCAAAAACAAAAGACATGGGTTATAAATTGCGCCATACTCTCAGGCTTTTGATCTTCGACTGTACAATATTCAGGAGAGGCAACTTTCACGACATTTCGATTTTTTTTGAACGAGTCTCCGGGACGGGTGAGATTCACTTTCGATTCATTCTGGATATCGAAATGCGCATGCGCAGAATTCTAAACATCAAACCCGATTGCAATTGCAGTTAACTTGAGTCAGCATGGCGGCTTCCATATGAATGTGATGAATACGAAGAGAACGCTTCTTAACTGACTGTAAGTAAAAAAAACTTAGTTAGTTCTTGAGATCCAAATGGGGGGGGGGGCGGGATGGTAACACGTCATAAACGTCGGAACGGTTGGGGGTGGGGGTCATCACAAAAATACAATAACTTACATGGAAAATTAGGCTTATACTTTTTCGGTTTGGCCCCTCTTTTAATTACCCCCCCCCCGACCACACACACACACACACTTTCAATTTGCTTCCGAAGCCTATCACACTATGATTCCAATCATACCCTATGCCTGCCTGGATACATGAAATAGCAGATAAGTGTTACATGCACATGTAATGTATACATTACAAGTATAAATAAAACTAGATCATTCAGTCTAAAAAAAAAATTAAGGTAACACCCACCCCACTTTATCTTAAATTAATGGCTTGTAAAATAGAAAGTACGGTGATGTTCAAGTGACAGATGAAAAGATAAAATACAAATTTGTGTCAAGGGATTTTTAACATTAATTTTATAATAGTTTTCAGTAATACAATGAGTAACAGAAATATTTCATTTGTTTTCATCTCATATTTTTATTTATATTTCAATGTTGAGACCAATTTTTGAACTAATTATTGTAACATGATTTTATTTGTAAGAGGAAATTAAAGAAGAAATTGAAAGTGTATGGCTGGAGTGGACTGTGTACATGTATATTGATAGGCCTGGGTAGCTCAGTCGGTAGAGCACTAGCTGTAGATCTGTAGCTCTCCGAAAAAATATATTGATAGTCCGGTTTATCAATATATATTTTTTTTTTCGGAGAGCTACAGATCTGCAGCTAGTAGAGCACCTGACTAGTGATGCAGGGATCCATGGTTCAATCCCAGTCCAGTCATACATTTTCTCCTTTCTATTTATAGAAAAATTTATTTACAAATGTCTGAATGAATGCATGGCATTAGAAAGAAGGCAAAGCCTATTTTAGCCCTCACCCTGTAAAAAAAAAAATGAACTAGTCTAAAACACGCTCCTACATATTGGCCGGCTTTCCAAGGAAAAAGTCAAAATAATTCTATAATTTACATAGGCGTCGGAACCGGGGGAGGGGGGGGGGGGGGGGGGGCTAGGGCCGGTGCTTTTTTTCCAAACATATACTTAGTATAGATATTGAACATTGCTTCATAGGTTTAGCCCCCCCCCCCACTTTCCACAGACACATGGCAGTATACATGTAGGTAAAAAATGGGAAAAAGGTAGTGTATAGAAAACAAAATTATGGTACTGAAGTTCGAATTCAACCCCCCCCCCCCCCCCCCCCCCCCCCCCCCCCCCCGAAATAGGATTTTCGTGTTTGGGAAATTGATGTTTTCGTTTTCTTTTTTTTTTTTTTTTTTTGCTTGTCAGGTTTTTTTTAGAAGGTATAAAAATTTTTTTTTACACCTAGCCCCCCCACTTTGAATTTGCTTCCGACACCAATGATTTACATGTATTCATCAAACTGAGTATGAAATTCTCAGACCGGCCCTGTGACCTATAACTCAGAACCTCTTATATTTATTTTACATGCTTAATTCATTATATACCAGTTTGAATTCTATTAATGATGTAAATTAGATTTTGATAAATGTTTTGCTCATAATAGGACCTTTTTAAATTTATTAATCCCCCCCCCCCCCCCCCCCCCCCCCGTCGACACCACAATCACACAGCACATACTGTTTGGAATAGGCTAGATGGAAAAGTTTTGTTAAAACATCGTTTGTTATGAATTAATTTAAAATTTGTTCTTGTACTATACATGTTAACATGTAAATTTCTACATCACATCACGTTGCGTCACCCATTATCA